TCCCATTCCATGGAAAAGAAGAATTTCGATTGGTTTATTCCCTTATACACTATACATTATGCTTTATGCAAGAGTCTGTGCGGCTATTAACTTAATCGATCGATTGTTATATTGGAACTCGAAGGGATAACCACTAGCTGAAATATTGTCCCACAGATTACATGAATTCATATGATTTCATCTGATTACAAATTATTTTTTTTTTATTACATATATGGAATTATTTGATAAAATATACGATTTTATTTAATATTATACATGTGATTTCTCGTAGTTGCATATGATAATTATCGGATTATACATAGAGATTTTATATAAATTTTATAATGATTTTGAGAACTTTGTCCAATGATTGCATTAAGTGATTACTCCTTCGTTGGAACTGATCAATCTCATTTGCTGTTCATCAGAATTTATCAATCATGACTGACACTTAGGTTCAATTTCACAACTCACAATAACTGATAGCGAATCCGACTGGACGCACTTAGTCGCACTGATGCACATTAAAGTCGTTGTACACAAAATGAAGATATGTTTAGAAATAAATATAGAAATCAATTAAATCGTGAAATACTCAATTCATTTTATTGTACTATTAGAGAAAATATTTAGATTTGCATTTCATTTCTATATTCAAATGAAGTCAATGTATAACGGCTCTAATATGTACCAGTGCGTACTAGTGCTTACAATTGAATTCGCTATAACTCTCAACCGAGGTTTAACTTATCGAATTCTAGAATTGAAAAGAGATGAAGGATAAGTTGAACCTCGGTTAAGAATTAACCGTGAGTTTTGGAAATGATTGTGAGCCATCAACTTGATTCAGCTCAATCAAAATTGCCGAGACCAATCCAAAGCCTCGTGCTACTATAATTTGCTACTATCAGGGATCTTGGGAATCCGATAACTCGCGCATAGTCGCGCACACTCGCGTGAGCCCAACGCCAAGTCCAGCCCCGAACGTATCCTTGCGACTATTTTCGCGTTACGTGTTTCGACATGATAGATGAGACTTTTCTGCGTTTCATCGACGTCGCGTCGGGTCGCGCGGTACCTGGCAAAGATTCCCCGGCTCTGCAATAGAGAAACGACGAATAATTTAGGATCACAGACGATACCTGTCGTGCATGCTTGTCGCAGTAGTCGAGAATTTTTTTTCACGGAAAACCAGACATGTACTTGCAAATTATGTTATATGAATTAAAGTGATTGGACTTTGTAAAGTGATTGAGATTAGTTATTTCGGAGATGCTTGCACATTATATTAACTTAAATCAAAAAGATTTAAAAAGATAACAGAAAAATTAATTTAAAATTCAAGAATTTTAAATTAAAAAATTAAGAAATTAAGAATTTAAGTTTTTCTATATTTTTATCTATCTTGGATATATTTGTACTTTATTTTATTTACAAAAAGTTTATTTGGCCAATATTGGCTGTATATTGGTTTTCCGATATTAGGCTAATATTGAGGCTCCAATATTTGGCCAATATTGACTATACATTGGTTTTCCAATATTGGACCAATATTGATAGCTCCAATATTTGACCAGTATTGGCTATACATTAGTTTCCCATTATTAAAACACATAGTGTTTTAACATAAATAATTACATTTCGGCGTTGCCCAGGATGGAGATATAGTCTGGCATCTCTCTAAAATAAAAAAAAATGTTTAATAAAAAGAATAAAAAAAGAGGAATACCAAGCGGACTCTGCCTCCACGTGGTGTATTCTAGGTAACGCCAAAATAGTCCGAAATGTAATTATGTATGTTAAAACACTATAAAATAAATTATGATTATGATTATGAAAAATAAATTACAATTTTTTTCACATAAAAGTGATTATAACTCGGAAACAATTTATTTCCAAACTTATGTTTAAATAATTTTTTTTTCCTTCTTTTTGGATCCGGAAGTATATTACTCCCTGAAGTATTATGGGCGATTTTCCAAACACCCTGTATATGAAATCAGTTGTGGAAATTTCTAGAGCAAACTGTAAGCAATAATGGCACATTATAAGTTGTCGGCAACATGACAGTTGTTTGGTTTTAAGTTTGTACATAGCGCCTTATGGGAATCCACGGTAATGAAATTCACTAGATGGCGTGATTAAAGTGTGGTCCCTTTTGTGCACTGTTCTTTCGCTACTAGGAGTAGTTAGTCAAGTAAGATGGTTGAACTTGTAAGATGCTGCGTGCAAGGTAGTTTTCATCATTTGTGCCAAATAAAGTAGTTCTCTTCTATAAGGGAAGAAACGCCGCGAGTTGTTAATTTATTTTCCTCGCGTAACACATAACAGCACCGTGTTAGCAACAAATAATTAATCATTTCATCTTGAGCATCATGATGAAAATCTGACAGCAACAGAAAATATATAATTTTCATCTTTGTTGCAAACGTTGCATGTTTTATTATACAAAAGTTTTTCACAGTTAAAGCAGAACAAGTTATTCATATACAAAATTTTTTCACAATTAAAGTAGAACAAGTCACACAACATCAAAATAACATTAAACTGAATCATGATTGATTTATAAAATGACTTTAGTAAACATTTTGAAGCCATTTTAACATCATAATTTTTTGTTCTGTTTGTTCTGAATGTGTTTTTCAATTTATTGTATGATAGATTTTAAAAACATTTCTGTTAAAACATTTCTTATGATATATTGCAGAATCCTTTTAGAATTGTTGTATATGAGATGTGAAAGGTTGAAACATTTCTGAAAACTTTTCGCAACAATCGGTGCTGTTTGGGTGATCAATTAATCAAAATAGTCGGCGATATAATTATTACTTTTGAGAAATACTTTAAGTTTATTTCAATCTGTAAACAGATAACAAAACTCTTAATAAATAAAACTCTTAAGTACTTCACAGAAATAATATTTAAATTAAAACTAAGTCTCCAAAAGCTCAATAAAATATAATTTGAAAAAACATAGTGTCTATAAAAGGGCAATGAACTTAGCATGCTGACAGTGCAACTAGATTTTTACTTTAATATTTACAATAAAATAATTTTCTCCAAACTTTTCGGTTCTCATAGAACCATTCTCGGTGCACAAAAAAAACTTACAATAACATAATTCTAGTCTTTATTATTAATATTGATACGCTGTTCTTTAAACTTCTAAATTCTTCTTCCGTTACAAAGTTTCTATAAAGGTCTTATTCCAATCTCGATTACTCCAAAGATTACCACTTGAAGTAAATAACCGATAAAAATCTAATTGCACTGTCAGCATGCTAAGCTCATTATCTTTTTATAGACACTTTATTTTTTCAATTGATATATAAATTATTATATATTTCATTGGTACTCTTAAACAGTATTTAAATTTATTATATCGACAAGTACTAGATATAGCTGAAATCTTTTTGATAATATTTTAAAAAGATTGCAGATTCTTTCTGTAATATTTCAGCAATCTTTTAACAAGATTTCATGTGCAAGAATCGTGGACATTTTTCTATTCAGAGCTGTCTCAGAAATGTTGCAGACATATTTCGTAATTTTTATAAAATGTTTCACTTTTTAATTGGGACATTTTTGAGATATTTTTGAAAACTTTCTGTATGGAAAATGATCTCGAATCTAATATTTAATTTTAGCATTATAAATTAATAATTATAGAATGTTCTCTCTTGACAATTCAGAGAGGCATAAGTTTATTCGCTCACGATGCAACGTTATGCGTCATGCAACAACCATGACGGTCATGAAACCGTGACGTTGCCTTCCTCAAGATAGACAGAGACTGATCTTTAAATGCGGCAGAATTCCTGGGGATGTCAGCACTTACATCTCAGCCTTCATTCATCCGCTATTTTTAGTCAACTCTTAATACGTTTAGATATAAAGACAATAATATCGCCTGACAACTTTGACCTTAAGAAAAAGAAAATTCATAGTTCATCTCCTTTGTCTTTTTAAATTCAATTTTACATACACGCTTGTGAAACAGAATCCTTAAAATATTATAGATAAGTACTAGAAAGTCTTTTAATTTTCTAAATGCATTTCTCTGTGTGTTTTTTTTTAGGAAACGTTAAAGGAGAACTGCAGCTGTTTAATTTATTTACAGTTTCTTTTTAAACCGTTTTTCTAGTAGATCCTTTTTTATTGTTTTGTCTCGTTTTTAATCTGTAATAATGTAAAGAATCTGTTAAATTGAATGACAGAGCTAAATGTCTAGCTATTTGTTGAATCTTCATTCGTTATTTTTTATAACTTTATATTACCTCAGTTATACGTTTTATCTTAATATTTTCATATATTTAATCTCGGTAATAAAAAAGGTTTAGGACGCTCGCAGGAATGCAGAAGATCCGGGTTCGACTCCCGACCGAGGTAATATTTTTCGCAATAAGAATGAATTATTTACAGATTCTAATGTTTTTCAGCATTATTAAGATCGTTCGAAGATGCGAAAAAGCATCAAAATTATTAATTATTGCTAGGCAATTTAACTCGTGATATTACTGCAGTAATTTAGTAGAATTAGCGTTTCGAAGACCAAAAAATCATTTTGACGCACGTTTCAAAAGACTACATACGTAATATATAAATTCACACAGAATTATAGAATCATTTAAGATCCAGCTAAACCGTTTAAGACACTGATTGTTATAGTTTGTGTTATTTTCATATTTGTATTCTAACAATTTTCTTCTTTATTATTAAAGATAAACAGTTTATCTCCTCAAAAATTTTGCAACAACATAAACGTATATACTGACGTTAGGCCCTACAAATGCGAAAAATGTGATAAAGCGTTTAAAAAAAAAGGGAATTTGCGCGAACATGAGAAAATCCATAAAGGTGAAAAACCTTATCAATGCCAGCTTTGTGAAAAAGTATTTAAGTGAGTATTTAAGTAAATGACAAAAATTAGAGAAATTATTTAGTAATTCGATGTCTATGCTTAAATTAATTGATAACAAATGATAAATATTATTACGATTATTTTGTAGTTTCAAATCCTCTTTAAAAAGACATATAGAGGTCAAACATTGCATTGATACAAATTACAAGTGTACCATGTGTGAGAAAGTTTTCAAAACTCAGGACCATTTGAGTTATCATATAAACACGATTCATTCGCAAAGACAGTATAAATGCGACCAATGTCAATCTACATTCGCCTATCCTAGCTACTTAAAACGGCACATAAAAATACATACAGGCGAGAAACCATATGTCTGCGAGGTACGTGTCACAAAATTATTATTAGTATTTTTTCTAATTATTTCTCATTTGACTATTTCTTTTTACCTTTCCGTAATTATAAATGTTCTGTATTTTAGATTTGCGGCAAAGCTTTCCTTAGAAAATATGACAAAGACAAACACAGTTTTATACATTGAGGTAAAAAACCGTATGAGTGTTCGATGTGTGACGAGTTTGAATTTTTCAGTTTAAATGTACGCGCCTATTTTTGTATGTATGACTATTATTCATGTATGTACTATTATAAATCAGGAAACATGAATTATATTAAAGCAACTGATTATAGAGCATTAGCAAATGTTTTTATTTAGTTATTGAATCATCGCCATAATAATCTTATGATAAAGTTCTACGTAAAAACCTCTTAATATAAATATTGATAGACATGCTATTCCGAAGAGGCAGAACTCCGTTTGCCAACAAATTAATTGCCTGCAGTACCGTTGCCTATATTTACCGACAGTTGGTTTTGCGCACAAAAATTATTTCCTCAATTGGATTGTCTACATGCATCATTTTCTACATTAAAAACGCAAATTTTCTATTTTAAAAACACAAATCATAATCTTATATAGTTTATGTGCATGTAGGCGATCGATCTGTAAGCAACACGAAAACAATATTTTGCTGTTTTATACAAACTATTATACAACTGGCTGAAAAATTCGAAATTTCCAAAAATTATAATTAATGATCTACATCTAGTTCTTGAGTCTAATTGTGGATCATAATGCAATTTTAACACATTAAATTTTAAAATTAGTGACAGTCAAAAATCAATGATAAATAAAAATAAATTAATAAAAGTTAAAAAATATAAAAGATTAATAAAATTTTAAAATTTGGCAATAAAAAATATTAAATTATAAATAATAACACTTTTTGTATAGACATGTATATTATTTTGTATTCTATTTTGATACTTAAAACAAATAAACCTTTTTGTGATAGTATCATTGTAAGATGTGACAAGTTTTTAATTTATTCCATGAAATTTAATGCTACTTACTACCTATTATAAAAATTTGAACCTACTATAAAAGTCATAAGACAATTCGTATGAATTTCTAAATATACATACATACGTTAGTTAATCTTGTACATTTAATTAATTAACATCAACAAAATGTGTAGCGCTGTTTCTAATAAATTAAATTTAATCGACATTTGGAAATAAATGCTAAAGAATTTTGTGATATGTAACATTTAATGGAAAATACTATAATTATTTAAACAGGTACTAGTACTTGATTTACATCTAGTGATTTTACACATATATATAAAAATATACATTTACGTACACTTTGCTTCAGTCGTTCTGAAGATTTTGACGTGGTTGTCAGTAAATTAAAAATTTAACCGTTATTGTCTTGGTTACTATGACAGAGTCATAAGAATTGCATGTAAGATATTAAATCAGATATTAAAATTTTATAATTTAAATTCAGGTCAAAATCTAATTTTACAAGTATCTTTTTTTTATGATTTATTACTCTGTCTTTGATACATTATGTATCATGATATATTCTATTTCTTTCTTTTTACTTTTCATAACAGCTATCACTTTATTATAATTTTATTGCTGGAATTAAATCCGTTCTCATCGTCGAACGTCAAATAAGTTTTGATTATTGTCTATTCTTCACTGAATTCTTTAATTCCTATTTATCAGATTTTTAAATGACAAGCAATTATACGATTTATTTTTAATATTTCTTTTTTCATAGTCATTAGTAATTTATACAATATGTTTTTAACCTTGATAACTGTTTCTTATTTACATTATGTTCCTATATTCATATTCAATTTGAATTACGTTTAACTATTTTCAATGTTTTTTAACATATCATGTTTTCAAATGATTATTTTAATTATGTAAATCAGAAAGAAATAAAGAAACGTTTATATATAAAATAAGTTTCCAAATTCCATATATACTTATCACTAACGATAAAATATATCAATTTAGCAGTAAAAGATACTAAAATATGATTACAGATTTCGATAAAGTTTTATATAGTGCTATTATTGTGAAAGCGTATTATAGGATATCCATCAAAAACAATACACGCACGTCTTTAATAACTCTATATTTAAGTTATGAATGTCAGTTCGACGTTGTTTTAGACATTGTTAATAGTACATCGATGCCTGAGTCGTAGAAGGTGCTGTATCAAGAAAAACATGAAGAAAAGTTTTATGTCAAGAAAAGTTTCAAGTCAAATGTCAAGAAATTAAAAGTGGTCTATTTCGCGTCAAGACCGATTTATGTCGAAATGCGTACGAAGTACGGTTTATATCCAGAAAGCGAGAAGAACGATTTAAGTCGTATGAAATTAAAGAATTATAATAGTATGTAGCACAATATTTACTACTCATAAAATACACAAATTTTATTACAGAAAATTAAATAATAGTTTTAAGGTGTTTAATGAGTGAAATAGTTATGTTAACGGTAATTCTTTGTGATATAATTTCTTTGATAAAAAATTTATAAAGTCAGAAATTATATTTTTCAACGGCTTTAGAGGTGGATAAATTTGAAAGTAAACATTCAAAAAAATTTAAACCGTCTACAAAAATGGAGGAATTTAAAGAACATTACAATGAAATTAATTGAGAATATCTCTGAAACGTTTGGAATTTGAATCTAAAAAAGAATTAATTTTAAATCAAAATTTGCAAAATTTGAATCGACATGAACAAACGCACAATGACACAGGAGAATATATATGCTAACATTGCGATAAGCTTTATGTTTTTCGTAATTAATATTTTTAATGTTTTTGATAATTTTGTATCATTTCAACGGTTATCCGTTTCATATTATCATTTTCATATTCATTTTATAACAACAATCTTTCTTAATATTAAAAATGACCAATTTATTTCCTCGAGAGCTTTGCAACGTAATAAAGAGATAATGAAGTTAAACTCTTTGAATGAAACGTATGGTAAAAAAACGTTTCAGTATGAATCATATTTGCGTCGTCTGTGATGATTCATGCAGAAGAAAAACCTTATTAATACAAGTTTTGTGAAAAGGTATTTACGTAAGTATTTAAATAAGCAACAAAAATTAGAGGAATTATTTAATATTTCGATGTATATTTTTAAATTAATTAATAACAAATGATAAAAAACTGTTGCTATGGTTATTTCGTAATCAAATAGGGATTCTAAAAAGGCACGAGGAGGCGAAGCATTGCAATAATAAAAATTACAAGTTTATCGTGCGTGAGGAAGTTTTCAGTATTCGCGTTATCATGTAGAAACGAATTATCCCCGTGAAAGATAGTATAAATGTGACTAATATTTATCTACATTTGTCTATCCTATGATCTTAAAATAGCATATAAAAATACTTACAAGCGAGAAACCATGTTTGCGTAGTATGTGTTACAAAATTAGTATTTTTTCTAATTATTTCTTATTTGATCGTTTACGTTTTTACATTTCTGTAGTCATAAATGTGCTGTATTTTAGGTTTGCGGCGAAGCCTTTTTTAGAAAATGTGACAAAGATAAATACAGTTTTGTACATTGTGATAAAAAGTTATATGAAATGTTTAATGTGTGACAAGGGCTACACACATAAACGTGCATGGACTTCTTGTACACATGTAAAGTGAGGTCATTCATGATATAACGTTTTAATTCATAAGCAGATTCACATTTGTGTCTTTGGATTTTTGTTATATATTCATGATTAGATTATAATAAATTATTGTAATGTATCACAATGCATTTGATATATAAAATTATTTGTTTTTTAGAGTCACACAAGTAATACCGTAGTAGAAAACTAACCGCGAAATGGCAACAGAATAGATAATCAAGTACAATTGGCGATTGGTCTTCATTGTGCATCAGCGAGAGTGGCATATGAAAGTGCTATCATTGAGCGCGCGATAAGATTTGCTTTTGAATGATATTACATATCGCATGTGTACTATTTTAAAAGTATGTTTTGTATTAGTTTTTACAGCGTGTGAGCGTAAAAACGAAATGTACTCTAAATGTATAGAATAATCGTGATAAAGGATTTCTTAACGCTAATTTATCCGACTGCGTCTTCAGAACACAGTACGAGTATTATTTTAAGATTTGATGTACTGACTATTATTTTTTATGTATGACTATCACTTATATATGTACTATTATAAATCGACAAATAAGAACTATATTAAAGCAACTGATATTAGAGCGTTAGTATTTGTTTTTGTCTTGATTATTCTATTGCCATAATATTATTATAAAGCTCTGTGTAAAAACCTTTTGATATAGAATAACGTGCTATAAAGAGACAGGACTCTATTTGTCAACAAATTGATTGCTACAGTACTGTTTGTCTATATTACATTCGACAGTTTGTTACCAAATAAAAATTATTGTCTCATATACTCGATTGCCCCATTCTCTGTTTTAAAACGTAATATTGTTTTAGAAACACAAATTATTTTCTTATATAGTTAACGTGCTTGTACGCAATCGGTCTATAAGTAATAATACACACACACACACACACACACACACACACACACATATATATATATATATTGTATTGTATTATGTGCACACAATCCTTTACTTCTTAATTTTATATTTGTACACAAAAATGCTTACACATCGTATTATAGGCAATAATGATGTGTAAGCAAATGTGACTAGCTTGTTTCTGAAATTCTTATTTCTGCACAAAAGTGCTTATAGATAATCAATCTGTAGTGAATAATATTATGTGTGCAATTTAGTTTATACGCAATAATGTCATGTGTGCATACGTGCTTTTTCTTTTAATTTTATATTTGTGTGCAAAAATGCAATATAGGCAGTCGAGCTGTAGGCAATAATTATTATGCAGAAAGGAACTATCGGTATATGTAATATAAGTAAACGCACCGCTAGACCAAGTTCTCTTGTTCTCGGCGTTGTGCCTCGCGATTTATATAGGTTTTTTTTTGGAGAATGTTCTTTAATAGGATGTATTTAATTGGGAAATTGAGAAATCTGTAGGATTTTTTTTCTTTTTTTATATGATAACAGTTTTAACTGGTCATTGGAAAGTTTCCCTTAAGTTAACTCCGTCCGCGTTGTAAATTTTGATTTGCTTTTATTCTTATTGGTGATAATATGTCACCTGCTTAAAGGATTTCAGGTTTACTGTCATCCATTGAATGAATTCCGTTATTGGGCAA